CTTGTTTGGAACCGTTTTTCCATAAAAAATGGTGCTCCAAGCCATGCCTTGGAAATCGAGAAGGCATGGTTTGGAGCAACACCGAATTTGATGTTTTCTCAGATTGGAGCTCGTTGCTTCCAATGAGGACGTGATGTGGACTTTCTATAATGGGTACTAGTACTGGAAATAGATATGGAGCACTAATACAAAACAAAAAGTGTTGTTGTTACTCCAGAAAACGTCCTACCTAACAGCATTGTTTCCAAACAAAAAAAAATGACAATTTTCTCAAAAAACAGTGCTTCCAACCCACACATCAGCACAATAAAAAAACCGGTGGCCAAAGGTGTTCGAATTCTAGGCCCGTTTTTAAAACATTGACATAAACACAATAAAAACATGTTCTTGGTTGTTTTTCATTTTCAAAACCGAAATGGAAAAACATGTATTATTTTAAAAACCATTATTTTGATAGAAAAACATGTATTAATTTTTAAACAAAACCAACTTATTTTTCCCTTTAAAAACAAAGTGTTCAATACCATGTTTTTATTTTACTTTTGCTTGTGGTTTCAAACAAAAAACATTTATGTTATAAAAGACCACCATATTAGCTTGGATCCATTTCTGGACAAAAAAATGTCCATTAAGGTTGTGTTTGGTTTGAAGGAAAAAGTAGGAAAGGAAGGGAAAGACAGGAAAACCTATACAAGGTTTGTAAAGGTTTCCCTTCATTTCCCTTCCTTTCCCTACCTTTTCCTTCAAACCAAACCATAGCCTAAAGCTTTGCAATTCCCTTCAATGATGATTGAGACTGGCAATAAGGACATGTATTCGACCAAATGTTAATGACTTAGGGTCCATTTCATTCACAGTTTGGAATTGGAATCAAAATCAAAATCCATCAGAAACAGAATTAGAACGATTTATTCCTTGTTCGATTCAAACAAGAATCAGAATCAACTGGAATGGATTCTCATTTCTCAATGGAAGGGGAGGGAATGGCTATTCCCTCAAATGGAGAAATGCCATTCCACCAAAAATGGAAATGGGATTACAATTCCGTCTAATCATATGATTGGAGATTCTATACCAAACCCCTATTCCATGAACCAAAAGAATCCTAACAGTTAAGAAACGTCTAATAACCTTTCTTTCTGTTTTTATTTTTAAATTTTATAAGCAAGTTCATGCACATGTATGCATAGTCTTCAATGTACGCCAAGACACAAACAGATAGAAACATTTGGCTTAACTTTGTGTTTTTCATTACAAACTTCAATGTTACTACCAATGTTACTATGATCATGTTAGCTGGGTAGGCCAATGTGGATTCGAATCCTGCTATTACCACCTACATTGAAAAGTTAGTGTGTGTTGTGTTAAATACCGAAAAAAAATGTTACTGACTTCTTTTTCTTTACTCGTTGATTCTATTAATTCAAATTTTTCCTATTTTGCGCACAATAGTCAATTAGGAATTAACTCCAGGAAAAATAACATATCTTCTAACTTTACACAAAAAAAAAAGCATATTTTCCTACGACTATTGAATAGAAAACTAATTAGTTACAACTTCATTATAAGGTCTCATTAGGAGATACTCTCATACTCCGGCGAGGATTTGGATGCTGAGTGAAATAAAATCTGCTCATTGTATATACAGCTAGGGGTGAGTGGGTTGGTCCCATAGAACCAAGTCTACTTTCAAATTCTTGAAACCAACACCCCAAGTCTAGGGGTTTATCCTAGCTAAACCGACCAAAATAATTTTAAGATGTAAAGATTTGAACCCAAATACTTTGAAGATGTAAAGACCATTCTCACTTGACCATAGAGTCATTTTAAGTGATTTGATCATTTTTCTTCAATTTATTATTTAAATGTGTATAATAAATAATGTAAAAGGTAATATTTACAAAATTAAAATTAAAATTATAATGATAGGTTACTTTTTGGGGGGCAACAGAGAGGTTGCACGAATAAACCCTGAAACAGGCCCTAAAATCACCAAAACCAATCTTGATACTAATTTCCATAGGGTAGGTTCCAGTTCCAAAACCTAGAACCCACCCCTATAGGTAGGGGTGTCAATGGACCGGTTTTAGATTGGACCCCATCCAAACCAAAATCATTTTGAACAAATTGGACAAACCAACAAGACATTGAATTGGACCAGTCTAGACTTAATGGTCCAAAGTATTTATTGGATTGGATTGAACATAATCCATCCATAATGAATTTATATTGGATTGAGTTGGATTAAGCCAATATCCAGTTTATTGATAGAAGATAAGAATATAGGTGTAAATGAACCAGGTTTGGATTAGAATTAATTTAAATCAAAACAAATTTGAATTGGACGATCCAGACATTGAACTGGATGAACCATTAGAAAGGTTAGAACCCTAATCAATTTGTTGGTCCATAGCCATGCTGGGACGATTAAACAACTTCCCAGTTGTGCTGGAACAAGGTTCAAAATATCGATATGCCCGATATGTTAGTAGGGGTGTATCTGGCGAATCGATACCTTCTTTTTACTTTTTTTATTTTTTATTTTTTTAAACTGGTTCAGAGGCCGATTTAGGTCTCCTCCACCCCTTGAACCGGTCAGACCCCCGCCCGATACACCCACTATATGGGTGTATCGGAGGGGTCTTGGAATGATACGTATCAACTTGTATACGTGTTGATACTTTGAACTTTGGCTGGGACGATTTTCATAGAAAGTATCGATATATGGGAGATATAAAAATAGCTAAGAAGCTGTTTAATTTACTTAAGAAGACGATTGAGAAGATTGGTGAAAAGAATGTCATTCAAGTGATTACCGGCAATGCTTCAAACCATGTTTTGGCAGGTAAATTTTCTAACTTGTTTATTTTCTATACAACTTTTACTTTCAATGGGTCCATCCTCTCAATCATCTTATCAAGTAAATTAAAGCAACTTCTTAGTTGTTTTTATATCACCCGATGCATCGATACTTTCTATGAACATCATCCCAACACAACTATGAACCAAAAAATTGATTAGGATTCTATCCTTTCTATCGGTCCATCCATCAATCTAGACTTAATGGTTCAAAGCATTTATTGGATTGGATTGAACATAGTCCATCCATAATGAATTTATATTGGATTGGATTGGATTGAGCCAATATCCGATTTATTAATAGAAGATAAGAATATAGGTGTAAATGGACTAAGTTTGGATTAGAATTAATCTAAATTAAAACAAATTTGAACAGATTGGACGGTCAAGACATTGAGCTGAACTAATCCATAATATTCATTAGATTGGATTGGACCTGGTCCATATGTAATGTACTCACATTGGATTGAACCAAATCTAGTCGAATTGACACCCTTACTTACAGGGTAGGTTCCAGGTTATGCCTTAAACCAAACCAAACCGACTCATGCTCACCCCAAAAGGTAAGGTGTATCAAAAAGATAATTTTAAGAAGCATATCAGGATACGCTTTGGATACGTATGGATGCAAACAAAAAATCAAGATACGCATAAATATGCTAAAAGGCTTAAATAAATCCTAAAAAACATAGTAATAACGATAGTTACAAGTTTTAGATGATTGTAAATAAGTTATTTAAAAGTAAAAAACTGTAATTTAATGGTCTATATAAAATTTGAGATATCGAAACACTTAGTAACTATTGACAAATGATGGAATAACTAAAACATTAAAAAAGAAAAAAAAAACTAAAATGTATATTGATATACATTAGTTTTAAAATAATCAATGTAATTTATCTTAATAGTTATTAATACATAAAATTTAATAATTAATTCTAACATTTATTGATAAGAATATTCTAAGAAAAAGAGAAATTACTTAAAAATAAAAATGCATAACCAAATAGCAAGCAAATGGGCATGGCTTAGTGGTGAACCTCTAGTTCTTAAAGCCTAATGTTTAGGGTTCAAACTTGCTATTGCTAATTTGTAGTTTTATACTAACAAAACAAATTTAATGAGAAAGAGGGTTATTAATTAACTAAATTAATGAAAAGAGAATTCCAATTAGGTGCTAAAACTAAAATTCAAATTTAAAATAATGCATTAATTATATGAGTAATTAACTAATTAATGAGATAAATTCATTTAAATATAGGAGTAAATATATAATTAATGAGGTAACTCGGCCTTAAATATAATTTAATGAAATTAGTGAGAGAGAAGGGGACTTGTATTTGTATCGAACTGTTTCAGAACCATATCGGTCGATACAGACCTGAAACTGTCCGATACAAGGCCCAAAATGGTCTGATACAGACCAATACATACTAAAAGGAACGCTACAGATAATTTCTGTGTTCCGTGTAATGGACTTGTACCGAAACGATACGTATCGACTGATACGATTCGATACGTTGCAAAATTTTGAACCTTGCCCCTAATATCAGCAGCATTATTTTGATGAACACCCTTAGGCTGTGTTCCGTTTGAAGGAAAAAGTAGGGAAAGGAAAGGTAAGGAAACCTTTACAAAACTTGTATAGGTTTCCCTACTTTTTCTTTCATACCAAACATAACCTTAGTCAAGCAGAAAGCCAGATAAATGTCTTATTCTTGGAATTTTGAAAGAGTTCATCTTTCTTCCTATATTCCAGTCATGAATCCACCTTATAGACTATATAAGACTGGGAATTATACACTCTTTAAAGTTTTTTATATCTTGCCCTGCTTTTGTATAAATCCCAGGTCTCCCAAACACATTTCTGTTTCCTCATTTTCTTCAGCAAGTCAGCATGGCTACCCTTCTCCTGCACCCCAACTCCCTCTTCTCGATTTTGACCTTGCACACCTAAAATTGAACTTCAAAAATCTAAAATTGAGGAGAAAGCCATTCAGGATGAAAGGTTGTTATCATTTCATGCGCTCTAGTCCCTACAAATCAATACTAAACGTTTTCATACAACACAGTAACATGAATATTTGATACTGCAGTGGATTGAATTCTCTACGTTTGTAATTGATTTATAGCAATGGAAATCAGGAAAATAAACTGTTTTGCACATAATTCAATGCACATTTTTTATTGAGTTCAACACATAAGCACCACTACACTAGGTGCTACATAAGATACTTGACGAAAATGCTATCCAACCAAATATAATTCTAGTATGAAAAACTCAAAACACCTACATGACACTTGAGTGAGTCTAAACGGAAATGCAAAGATATGGTCCCAAACATACCCATGGTCTCCATACAACGAAATCAGCAACTGAGACGTCAAAGACCAATATACAGTTCTAAGAATCTAGGGCCCATTTGGGAGGGCTGAAGCGTTGGATGAGCAGCTTTGGAGAAGCCACTAAACAAACTTCAACAGAGCCATGTTTTGATTTTCAGACGGTCAACAAGAATAACTCTTTGGCTGTCCAGGTGGAGTCCACCTCACAAAGCCAGAAGCCACTGAGTGAAAGCCATCAAAAGCCCATTTATCAAAAAAAAAAAAAGAAAAAGAAAAGAAAGCCATCAAAAGCCCTACCAAAGCAGGCACTACACTTACTGAGGTTTGATTTAAAGAGTCTAGATTTGATGCAAACACAAGTGTGCGAATTTGGCTAAGTAACCAATCACAATTGAACACGTCAGTGTTCCATACACATGGAGCCCCACACCACTGGCACGTTCATTCACGACTGGTCAATTAACCAGGTTCTCACATTTGTTGTTCGTACCAGATCCCGCACAATTCAGATTTCAAAATCTACAGTTTCAGTAAATTTGCTGCATCGTTTTTTCTTCATTAAACGAGCTGATGTTTTCTGACCTGAACAGCTTCTAAATGAAAAAATATACAATTCAACACCATACAACTAACTAGACAATAAATCAAGTAAATAGTACACCAACCACAATTGAAGCTGAAGTGAAAATACCTATTTCAGCTCACTTGAGCTGACACCGAAATTTGTATGCTGTCGGTTTAACGAGGAAAGAGGCTACATCCCATACAACAATGCCACGTGAAGTTTTTATTGTTGCCATGTATCTCGGAAGCCTCGGCAAGATTACCACTCAGCATAACACGTTCAAGAAATCCAAGACAAAAAAATCGGCACCATCTTTAATGTTCCCCATTCTGGACCATCATTTGGACATTCTAGCAAGAGAAAAAAAGATCGACAGTCACAATTGTTTAGATCTTTTAACATAAAACAGTGTAGTATATACAAGAGAAAGCCCACCAAATGGAAATAAACACCCCACCCCCCACCCCACCCCGCACTGCATGGGCATCACCAGATTTGGGCGTAAAGCATGTAATCAATAAGAAACAAAACTCAAATGCAATAAATACTTACAGCAGGAGAGGTAACCATGGTGCTGGTGAAATACTACTACGTATCTTCATCCAATACACTCCAAATCATCCTACAATAAATGGGCACAAAAAAGTCAAAAGAATTTCAGTCAAGCTTTCTTAAACATTACTTTCTTAAGAACAGGTTTCTTATAACGATACCAGAATATAGTAAAGAAGACCAGGACGATTAAATAAACAAGCTTAACAAGTCGTTGCTTCTTTTCCCAGTTGAGCATGTTGAAAATCTCAGTTACATCCACCAAGTGCTGCCTGCGCATATACCTGATGATGGAAACACCAAAACAAATTCAAATGAATTGGTTTGCTTCAGACTAGAATCTCTTAAGGCCTACTTGCATTTTTGGACTAGATGTTCAATGAAGCATAGAGCAATGTAATCCACTAAGGCACCAAAATCTATGAGGTTGCTCCAAAGGGTACGTGAGTAAAGTCAAGGTAACAAATGTGAACATCACACTAGCTGCAAGGAAGGAGCAAGTGAAATACTTTTGGCCTTAACCAGTAACCATGGATTGTTCCTCTAGCAACATCAACACGTGAGACAAAATAAAAAAAGGACCAGCAACAACAAAAAGGATCTACTCAAGTGCAGTGGTTTCAAGTAAGCTTTTGCTCGTTCTAGCTTTTGTTTAAACCTTAAAGTTCTAACATGCAATGAAAGAAGAACAAGCAACAAGTAGCATAAAAGAAATTGCACAGTATTTCATCTATTTTTTCAGGTCTTATGACCATCAGATGCACGTAGAAAAAGCATTCTTTTGAAAGATTGTAGAAAAGCAAAATTTTATGAACTTTACAAAATCCAAGCATCTTGACCAATATAACATCACAACAGACACACACTACATTAGTAAGACATCTCGGATTGGAATGTGATATGAATATAAAACACAACATCATAAATGAATTTAATTAATCCTAGCTAGAGAGATCTATTGGCATTTTCCTAGGTGAAGTAGAGGAAACGTGAAATAAATTTAACTAATCCCAGTGGAGATTGCCTTTCTTGCAGAAAGAGTGACTAAAATCAAGGAGACTGTTAACGAACATTCTACAACTATTCCGTACTAAATGTAAAGTAAAAGAGATCATAGGAGAAAAGAAATCATATTTGCAGATAGAGTGAGTAAAATCAAGGAGAATGTTTATGAACTTTCTATAACTATTCCCTACTAAATGTCTTGAGTAAAAGAGATCATAGAAGAAAAGAAATCATATTGAAGTTTATGTTATCAATAGATGACTGATAAACCAAACAAGAGGATGGAAAAGGGAAGATGAACTCTAGCAAAACAGTAGATAGTAAAAGCAACAAAATAATCATAAGAAGAAAGCAAAACTTCCCATAAAACTGCTCAAGAACAGAAACCCGCATCATATTGTGACACATTTTGTTCTTTTTTCATAGGTAACCCAGAAATTTATTTTTATGCATATTGTCTCGTGTCAAACCAATAAGCATCCTACCATAACAATAACAATTTTATTATTGTTATTGTTTTAGGGTTTTCTTCTCCTATAGCAGGGAAGTATGCAACCTCCAAGGGGCAGCAACAGTTTCACAGGTAGAAGTGGTGGCTGCAGTGGGGACAGGGGCGGACGAAGGACATCCTGCTGAAGTCATAGAGGTTTTCTAGTTTGAAAATCTTTTTGTAAACTCTTAAAGATACACTTTTATACAGTTGTTTAGAAGAAATTATTTCAGGTATATATCCCCAATGTACAGGGATCCCTCTTTGTATATTTTTTTTATTATCTTTCTAAATTCAATATAATACTGTTTCAAAAAAGAAAAAGAAAAAGGAAAGTGTTACTGGTTCAATTTAGGAGGTAGTAGGAGAGGCTGAGATAAAGAAGAGGTTCATTAAGCTCGGGAGAAATTACGATTGCAACAATGGCAGTAGCAGCAGAAGAAGGAAGAATAAATGGTAACCAGATGTGAAAAGTTGACAGAGGATGCCCACCCTATTTTTGGTGCCTTTATTTGTTTAGAAGGCTCAGATGTGAAATCTACCATTTTCTTAATTCTCCATACTATTTGGGCTCTGAATTTGAAAGTCAAGTGCAGAAGTCTTTAGAATTAGATATCCCAGATATTGGTCAGTAAATAATGCCAAATACTGTGTTAAGACAATGATTAATAAAATATACAATTCCTGCTACAAACTGCTATCTTACGTGGTTTTACTCTACAAATTTCACCTTAGTACATCACCATTAAATATACTCATTTCTGGTGCACATGTAGTTCTTCAATCAAGGACTACCTATCTTCAGTGTGTATCTCTTATCCTTCAACCTCTATTTAGCTTCTGCTGATTCTTGAACTCAAATCATAGTTTCATCATTAGTGGTTGAGAGCTTATTTATAACTCTGTATGCTGTCTTCCTGCCCCACCCAGACAAAGTGAAGTCACTATAGCTAGAATTTATTGCTCCATGCAACCAAAGGAATAACATATAGTGGAATAATTGATCAAATAAGATGAATGTAAAGCATAACCATGGAATTTGTTCACTATGCCTCATCTGTTCATCATTGTTCTTCTTGCAATCAAAATAAGTGACAGGAATGGATGCTTATGATAATCCACATGGGTCAAGTTTCAGCCGAGGATAAATTGATGGGACTATTGAAATTTGAACTAAAACTTGCTTGTCTAAGTTCAAGTTCATGTCTCGATTTCAACAACGCCTAAATCAATGCATAGTAGTAGTGTGGTAAATAAAGGAGGGGGAGGGCTTACATTCTTGCATTGTAGTACAGATATGGAAGACACAAGATAAACATAAACCAATGCCCTGAAATGAGAAAGAGGAAACAGAGGGCTCCTAATGTGCCAAATTCTGGCAAGACCACACTATTTATCCTTCTTGCTGAATCATAAGGATTGATATAATCAAATTCTAGGTCAGCCAAGCACATAAGCTGCAATAAATATTTCCAGGTGTCAGAATGCACATTTTTTATGTAAAATGTAAAACTGAATAAATTAGAACAACAAATTCATGTGCTAAATATGCATATTACTTAACAAGATAATAAAAGTACCACAAACCATATGGTTCAAATTAAATGGCTTTGCAACAACATTGTTTGGACAAACATTAGAAACACCAATGATATCCTACAATGATTGTATGGCAGTTTTCAGGAAAAAAAAAAGAATATCATACCTTGACTTTAGGGGCCATTGCTTGGTATAATGGTAAAATCTTGGGCAAACTCTGAGAACATAGTTCAAGTCCAAAAACAGCCACTTAATGAAAAAAAAAAAAAAAAAACAAAACAAAGAAAGTACCAAATATTAGGTCCAAGTAAATAGCCAGTCCCAAGACCCCAGATAGTTGGGACCAACATCACAACATTCAGATTACCGAATAACCCCACTATATTCAGATATCTGCAAAAGCAGAAAAGATAATTTTTCACTGGATCCTTTCAGAGCTTTTTCAGAGGTTTATTTGGTTTTCGGACTTCAGACTTCAGATTTACCGAATGCCACCTAAGTGGGGGCATGGATTGTAGCAAGGATTTCTTCGGTTACTAGGTTATGTGCCAAGGTTTTTTCTAACTCAAAATCCCCAAGGACCAACCAAGAGTCGCCCTCCACTTTGCTCTCAGGGATCCCAAGGGAAACCAAGTTCTTTTGGAAGGAGTTTAGGACCAGTTCATTTCAGACACCTCTTACCTGTGCAACCTCTGGACGGTGAATTCTGATCTTTTCAGAGGTGTCTCAGTCAATGACCTCAATAGAGATGCTTACCCTTTCTTATTTCTCCCTCACCACCATCAATCACCATTGAGGTTTCCTGAACCCATCCAGTGAACGTAGGTGATATTAAATTTTGATGGAAGTGCTTTAGGTAATCCCGGATTAGCTGGTATTGGAGGGAAAATTAAGGGATGAAAGGGGCAACACCTGTTGGACTTTCAGCAGTCCAATAGGCATGGAAGATTCCACAAAGGCTGAAGTAATGGCTGCCCTCACAGGAATCAGAATAATAAAAAGCTTGGGAATTCAAAATATAACAATTGCAAGTGATTCAGCAAATACTATAAAATGGTTAAGAGACAAAGACGGGGGGGCCTTGGAGATTAAGTCACTATTTAGAAGAGGTCAGGGACTCCTTGGACAGCCTAAATGTAAAGTTAGTTTGGATTCCTAGGGAACACAATCATACAGCAGATGGCTTAGCTAAATGCGGTGTATTCTTAGAGCAACTATATAGCGACAAGCTTCCTCCATTGTAGTTTGTAGGGGTTCTTCCCCTGCTTTGTACATCTTCTCATGTACCCCTTTTTTATTAATGAATTTTGGTTAACATTTTTCAAAAAAAAAAAAAAAAGTTTAGGACCAGTTCAATCACTACAATTGGGGTCACCAGTTATTCCACCCTAGTGGCCTAGTCTCCTAGTACTGTGCCAATGAGTTGTGGTGTGACTCTTAGGGTGAATGCCTTGACCGAAAGAGAAGGGAAAGTAAGCATAGTGATTTAAAAGGCACGCCTGAGGTGCAAGGCGAGGCACATCCCAAACAAGTGCCAGGCGACCCAGCTGAGCGCCTATTTAAGCTATTTGTTGTTTTTTAATTTATTTTTAAATTTATGTTTATATACCAGTATAATTGTATAGAAATTGTTTGTTTCCTTTTATGTTTTGAAATTTTGTACATGGTATGCCGAATTTTGAAAGTGAGAAAATCAAGCCATATCGAGACTCTCAGACTTGCCATGGAAGGCTTTCAACAAGGAACCCAAATGTCTCAACTCTCAGAGTCTCATACTCTCACAGTCCTAGTCGAACTCAAACCCCAACAGCAAGTTCAGCCTCCACTCTCCAGGTTCTTCTTTGATCATTAGGTTCATCCGGTTCAGCACATCTCAGCCTAGGGCAGTGCAGTCTTAGTCGAAAAGTCGAACACTCTCAATCTCAGTCGATCATCAGGTTCTTCTTCCATTCTTTTTTGTTTTGACAGTAAAACAAGGACTCCGCCCCTTGTTTCTTTTTGGTTTTGACATTGAAAACAGGGGTTCCGCCAATTTCTTCTTCTTCCTTTCTTTTTTGTTTTGATAGTAAAACAGGGGCTCCGCCCCTTGTTTCTTTTTTGTTTTGATATTGAAAACAAGGGCTCCGCCCCCTTCTTCTTCTTCTTCCTCTTCTTCTTCCTTTTGTTCTTTCCATTCTTTTTTGTTTTGATTTTGATAGTAAAACAGGGGCTCTGCCCCTTGTTTCTTTTTTGTTTTGATATTGAAAACAACGGCTCCGCCCCCTTCTTCGTCTTCTTCTTCCTTCTGTTCTTTCCATTCTTTTTTGTTTTGATTTTGACAATAAAACAGGGGCTCCGCCCCTTGTTTCTTTCTGTTCTTTCCATTCTTTTTTTTTTTGGATTTTCAGTTCTTCTTTATTTCTTTCTTCCCCATTTTCTTCTTCTTCTTCCTCTTCCTCTTCTTCTAAACTTCTATTTCGGTTCAGTTTTGTTGCATATTATTTTTTGAACATCTGGTTACAGATTGAAGTATTGAATATTTGAATATTAATTTATTTTCGGTTCATATATGTTAATCACTTAGTTGATTTGTTTTAGAGTTTTAGACTTTTAGTTTCATTCTATATTTTTATTTTTGATTGATTATTAAGTATTAATTTAGTTGTCCTCCTTTTTTTGTACAACTAGCTATGGATGAAGGCGATACTTCTCGTGAAATTAATAGGAGAGATCCAGCATGGAAGTATTGCTCTTTACAAGTCCCTAATAATACAAACTCAGTCACTTGTAAGTTCTGTGGAAAAGTGACTAAAGGAAGAATCTATAGGGCAAAAGAACACATTGTTGGTGGTAGTAGGAATGTTAATGGATGTACCAAATGCCCTAACGAAGTTAGGTAAGAAATTTTGGCATATATGCAAAAGAAAATGACGTAAAAGAGAACATGGTGATCGAAGAAAGGGATGGGATCTCTGATTTTGATGATCATGAGAATATGATTGAAATTGAAGAAGATGATGGTGTACAAGTTCATGGAGTTGGTGGTAGTTCTAATTCATCATGTCCTAGGCCTTTTACATCTCCTGGATCAAGTTCCAAGCCATTCATCAAAAGACAAAAAGGGCCTATAGATATGTTTTTGATAACACCTACTTCAGAACAAGTTGTAGAGATGGGAAGGGAACACAAAAGAATGAAACAAACCACCATCAGTGAAACATATAATAAAGAAGTGAGGGAACAAGTTTGTATGCGTATTGCTAGGTGGTTATATCAAGTGGGTATGCCCTTAAATACCATCATTGAAGCTATGGTGGAAGCAATTGGGCAATTTGGGCCTGGATTAAAGATCCCAAACTATTATGAAATGAAGGTTCCTTTCTTGAAAAATGAGGTTGATTACACGAAGACATTATTGCAACATCATAAGGAGGCATGGGAAAAGTGAGAATGTTCTCTAATATTTGAAAGATTGACCGATAGAAAGGATAAAACCCTAATCAATTTTTTGGTCCATTACCGTGTAGGGACAATGTTCAAAACAACTGAGAAGTTGTTTAATTTACTTGAGAAGATGATTGAGAGGATTGGTGAAAAGAATGCCATTCAAGTGATTACCGATAATGCTTCAAACTATGTTTTGGCAAGTAAATTTTCTAACTTGATTATTTTTTATACAACTTTTACTTAGTTTTTATTGTCTTATTTCTTAAATTGTTATTTTTGTGTTATTAGGAAAATATTTGATGGCTAAATATCCTCATTTGACTTGAACACCATGTGCTGCCCATTGTATGGATCTCATTTTGGAAGGCATTGGCAAATTACCTCTTGTCAAGATGACTATTGAGAGGGCTATAGCACTAACAGGATACATATACAACCATCCGGGCCTGTTGAACTTAATGAGAAAGTTTACAAGTCAAAAGGAATTGATTAGGCCGGCCAAAACCCGCTTTGCTACCTCCAATCTTACATTACAAAGCATTTTTAAGCAAAAGAGGTACTTGGGGGAGATGTTCAATTCTATTGAGTGGAGTAATAGCAAGTAGGCAAAGGAAGCCAAGGGTAGAAGGGTTGCAGAAACAGCAACAATACCTTCATTTTGGAATTACATTGTATATATTATTAAGGTGTGTGCCCCCCCTGTTCGTGTCTTACACTTGGTAGATCATGAAAACAAACAGGCTATGGGTTACATCTATGAGGTTGTTGATAGGGCAAAGGATATATACAATGTGCGGCCTAGCACGACTATGGGTTACATAGTATGAAGCATTATCGGTAATCACTTGAATGACATTCTTTTCACCAATCCTCTCAATCATCTTACCTAGTAAATTAAACAACTTCTCAGTTGTTTTTATATCACCCAGTGCATCGATGCATTCTATGAACATCATCCCAGCATGGTAATGGACCAAAAAATTGATTAAGGTTCTATCCTTTCTATCGATCCATCCTTCAAACATTAGAGAACACCCCCACTTTTCCCATGCCTCCTTATGATGTTGCAATAATGTCTTCGTGTAATCAACCTCATTTTTCAAGAAATGAACCCTCATTTCATAATAGCTTGGGATCCTTAATCCAGGCCCAAATTGCCCAATTACTTCCACCGAAGCTTCAAAGCTTTTTAAGCAAATGGTATTTAAGGGAATACCCGCTTGATATAACCACCTAGCAATACGTATACAAACTTGTTCCTTCACTTCTTTATTATATGTTTCACTGATGGTGGTTTGTTTCAAGCTTTTGTGTTCCCTTCCCATCTCTACAAAAAATTGATTAAGGTTCTATCCTTTCTATCGATCCATCCTTCAGACATTAGAGAACACGCCCACTTTTCCCATGCCTCCTTATGATGTTGCAATTATGTCTTCGTGTAATCAACCTCATTTTTCAAGAAAAGAACCCTCATTTCATAATAGCTTGGGAT